TTTTTTAAGGGTTTAAATCATGTAATATCTTTATTAGTTTACTGAAATGCTTTAACAATCAGGCAGCATTGTTTAATGCTTCGATCTCAGTAAACAATACATGTAGTTCACACACATAGTGTTATACTGTGTCATTAGTTAAGCAGTACCAACTACACGTGTAGAATTGATTGGATCTAACTTGACATGTGCATCAGAACAGCAGCAATCTTGTCCGTGTCTTATTGCATTAAAAGTCGGATTATAGCAAAGCATAGGACACTACAAATTACTAATAATCGTTTCAGCAGTTTAAAATGTAATTGCTCTTTGACCCTACATTTCCTTGGCCACACAACCCGCTCACCATTGAGGAACTGATTTAGCTTCTTTGATGTAAATGCATTACAAAATTGCCACAGCGCCTCTTGAACCTAGTGCAATGTAGCGTATAAGACAATGACATAATCCTTTGTCAGACTGGTGCTAGCTGCTATTTTGTTAACCGTAGAGTGCATTTTGTTCAGCAGTGAATGACACTGGTAAGCACAGAACCTTTACGTTACAGAAGGTGTTACAATGGCTATCTTGAACGTATTTTATACAGGGCTTACCGTGCCAATTATTGTGGAGCGACTCTTTACGAGAAAGTGCGCGAGACTTGCCATGCCTTCCGTGGAGCCTCCAACCAAGGTAGTGAAATTAAAATCAACTTGAATTACTGTCTCCCACCTGTTGCGTAGCCAAGCGAGGCAAGGGCCCCTACACTTTCTCAGGAAGGGTTTTCCAAAAGAAGAGATTTGTTATAATCTTAAGACGTGAAAACAAAGCAGTTTTAACTGATGCGTTCACAAAAATGCATTCTCTCCAGAGATTGCAGAGAATGAAAACTGAAATCAAGAAAAGTTTTAATTTTCAACCAATTCCCTATCTTTTTGGTTTCTCTTCTTTTCTTCCTCTTAATTTTTTGGGGGTCTCACCTTCATCCCCTTGACATATGCATGTCTCCATCAAGAGACTGTATACGTCATGCAGAAAAAGGCTGCAGAAGGACGTTTTCTTTATGTAAAGGGCCCTCCTGTTTCTCCCCGCTCTGTTGATTTGTGGAAAAGTCAATTTTTTAAGGTGGGGCTAATGGTAATGTAGTGTAATTCCCGGTGACGGGAGAAAGTGAGGCGGTGAGGCCAAATTTTGGGGTTCCTGTGTCACTCTCAAATTTTGGTTTTTTGAAGATCTCCTTGGCTTATGAAAAGACCTGCCAGTACAAAATTATTAATTTAAACAAACATGAATCTTTGGTTCTA